TTTTCCACTGATTTATAAAGCTGAAATGTTAGGTGTGTTATGTTACAGCATTTTGTGTTCATATAAGGTTTCAGCAACATCACACACAACCTGGCCTTTGTTGTGTGGTTCATATGTGTCTCTGCGCTTTCTTCCAGAAGGAAAAGTATTTTTCATTCTTTAGTATTCCATGTACTGTATTTGGTCATAAATCAAAGTATTGGAAAAGTCAGAAGATCTCTAGTGATTATAATGTATCCTCTGGAGACCATGAATGTCTGTACATGGCAAACCATGCAGTATTTGTTCAGATATTTCAGTCAGGATTGACATTTCAGTGATGGACATTGCCATCCTTTGAGCGATGCAGCCTGTGCGACTTCAATGTCCAAAAATGAACCATGTTAACGTGCAGTGGTGAGAGAAAAAAGTAAAATTTGTGATTGGTATCATCTGTAAAGTCAATAATTTCTATCAAACAGAGTCATAGTTTATTTATTTCAGTGGGGAGTTCCTCTCTGCAACACTGCTGTATTGTTTGACTTAAGGGGCTGACGGCAGTATTTGTATGCCTCTCATTTTAGAGTTCCTCGCCTCAGATTAGCAAGCGCCATCGTTTACATGATGAGGCGCTTGTGTTCTAATTAAGGCCTTTAATGGAGGGGAACTGGTGTGAGGAGGGTTCATACATTCTTCATCTGAGTGACAGTTAACACGTTTAAATGTCAGCCAGTCTAAACCAGCAAACTGCATAGCTCAGTCCTTCTGAAGCTGTCGAGATCTACAGGGAAATGTGCCCATTGGCAACTGATTAATACTGGGACCACCTGTCCTCTAAAACAGAGCATTAGTATAGAACTGAGATGTTCAAGCAGATCAATGTTATTCAGAACAATGTTAAATTATTTTGTAATTTAATGTCTAAGACCTGAACCACATTCTCCAAACAAATAGGGAGCAGCATTTCACCTCTACTGGGTCCACACAATTTCATCTTACAGTCATCAATGAAAAAAGAAAAGAAAAGCACTAACAGCAGGGCAAAAACACGCAAGTTCCAACAAAACTGCTGAAAGTCTGAGAGATGGTTCAAATAACATGGCTATCTTTTAATCTCCACGTGTAGCCCCGGCCTACTGTTTACATTGCAGCTTGCTTAGCTCTGTTTTATCAAGACCATTGTAGCAATAAAGCAGCCACGTTCACACCGTATATCGACCTCATTTGATAAAATGTTGCGAGTTCAGCATCAAACCATCTCTTTGCGAGCCAAGAGCTTTCTACAGTGATGGAGAGCCACGCCAATGCTGCATTTTATATCACTTCTTTTCTTTGCCCCTGAATGCGTATTCCTGCTGGGAACGGGTTGTTGGCATGGTGATGAAGGTCAATGCCAATAGCGTCATCCATCTTGTGTTTACTGTGCCACTAACAGAGCAACAAGCCCTCGGGCCAGGTCTACTCTTTCGTCCTCTCATGTTGGACTGAGGACTGAACGCTACAGTGACTCACTATCGCCTCTCCAGATACAAGTGGTATTACAAGACAGGACGGGCTGGGCTAGCTGGTTAGCATGCTCTCTTCACTCGATACCTCTATGTCTTTGACCTAACGTCAACACTGTAAGCTCCTCACAATCTGTTGATAATTGAATTTTTGCCAATTCTCACACAAATCACCCTTAACACACATACAAAACGATCTATCCACATCATATCGGACTTGAAAGGCCTACGTAAAAAAAACAAATATATATTTTGGTTTAAATTAATTCACACACATTTGGAGTGGTGGAATATAACTAAATACATTTCCTCAAATTCTGTATGTTAGTACAATTTTGAGGTGCTTGTACTTTCCTTGAGTATTTCCATTTCATTCTACTTTATAGAACTGTACTTTTGATACTTAAGTGCATTTAGGTGATACAACATTTGGGCTTTTACTCTAGTATTAACTTACAGGGCTTTTCACTTGTAAATACGTATTTTCACGCTGTACTGATGCTTTTACTTACATTTCCAATCTTAGTCTTGGTCTCTTTGGAAATAATTGCAGGTGTATTTTTCAATCTCACTTTCCAGTTTCGTTTTTTGTTTTTTCCTGGGAATGTTGCTACAGACACCCTGTTAATAATACTGCAAATTCATTGGCTTTTATCAGTCACCATTGTGTTACCTCATTCCATGATCGATAGTGACTTAGCAGATATTTATTTAAATAAAGGATCTGAATACATACCACTGCACTGCCCATTAGACTTCAAAAACAAAAAGAACAACCTAACTTTATGTTCTCATGCTATTTCTGACTAGATCAGTCTAACAGTATCACATCTGTCTGTGTGACGGCACCAACAGATTCAATTCGGGGAGCTCAGATTCTTTCCATGTGGAGCTTTCACATCTGCCCTGAGGCCTGAGTCAATTTCCAATGATAGCCCTCCAGTTGGTGAAATGTCAATTAGCCACCATCCACCTCCACACAGTGTGCTCTGTTTCAGCGGGCCCAGGGCTAATCGCTCATCATCGACCCCCTGGTACCTGTCTGGATGGTGGCAGGGTAGTCGGGACAAGCACATACACACTCACACACAAACATCTGAGTCTTCTCTGAGTCCCACCTCTGGACTTTGCAGGTGCACATCTGCCCCTCCAGAGTATTTGTGTGGTACAAGACAGAGAAAAGTGACAGCAACAGTTGATTCAGACTTAATGGAACAAGCAGAAAGCTCACTTGTAGATTATATACCAACAAATTATGTTTGCTCTTTACTTACCTAACCATGTTGTTTGTCTTGATAATTCTGTAGATGCATGCACTGATATTGTTGAAATAAATTATTCTAAAAACACTCCCACTGAACACAATCTGGGAATTTGAAGAATACACCAATATTAACATTCTGTGTGCTGGTATGATTACAATCCTCTCCACTAATAAAGGATGTCAACCTGCCGATAAGTGGGCCAAACACACAGCGGAATTAAGAACAAAGTTTATCCAATACGCCTTAGAAAAGTCACAGTTGGGATTAACTGCTCCAGTTAAAGTCACTAAGAGTACAAAGAAAAAAGAGGAAATTACTCAGGTGATATCAAGTCTCAGTATTACCACAGACTGTGAGGGGAAAGCTATGAAATCTGTCAAAGGAGCAGAGAGTATTGGAAAACAAATTCTGACACAACCAGAAAAAAAATCAAGAAGATGTTTAGTTTCTGTTTTACATTGCAATGTTTGGTGTAACTTAAATGTGAGGTTGTGATTCTAAGCAACCCAGACAGTGATGTGAGGTAATTGTGATGAGCCACAGGACGGGCGCTGTTACTGCTGCTTTAAAGACATGACTGCTCTCTCGGCTTGCAGATGAGCTCAGCATGTCAGTCATGACAGATTTGGCACCTAATCTAACCACTGCATATGTTATCATCTTGTCACCTGATCAAATAGAGACTTCCTCAACATACATATTATCCAGCAATCAGCATTGCAGATCTGATATATGACAAATATACCAAAAACAAGCATATACAAAATAGCAACTATGATATTATTCATATGATTTTATATTATTTTATAGTTTATTCATACATACTTTTTATAGTTAATCTCAGCAAACATTGCATCGGTTACATGCTCCTGCAGATTCCTGCTCTACAACATCAGGAGGATTCGCCCCTTCCTCACTGATGAGATGGCGCAGGTGCTCATCCAGGCTCTTGTCATCTCCCGCCTGGACTACTGCAACTCACTACTTGCCGGAGCCCCGGCGTCGGCCATCAGACCTCTGGAGCTTGTCCAGAAAGCTGCAGCTCGCCTGGTGTTCAATCGCCTCAAGTTCTCCCACACAACTTGCCTTCTCAGTCCCCTACACTGGCTCCCTGTAAGAGCTCACATCCAGTGTAAGACTCTGGTGCTAGCCTACAGGGCAGTGAAAGGAACAGCTCCTTCCTATCTCCAGGACATGGTCAAGCCCTACACCCCCGCCCGACCACTTTGTTCTGCTGCCTCGGGGCGATTGGTTGCCCCGTCGCTCAGAGGTCCCTGCGGCCGATCGACCCGGTCACGGCTGTTTTCTGTCCTGGACCCACAGTGGTGGAATGAACTCCCCACTGACGTCAGGACAGCAGAGTTGCTGCCCATTTTCATCAGGCTGAAAACTCACCTCTACAGTTTCTGCACTGTACTTCTGCTCTGGTTTATGCTCTTAGATGCTTGTTTGAAAAAGGAGATGCACTTATGACTTCTGATGACTAGCAGTTCTCTTGAAAACCGATGTTGAATACACTTATTGTAAGTCGCTTTGGATAAAAGCGTCTGCTAAATTACTGTAATGTAATGTAATGTAATGTAATCTAGAATAAGCATTTTGTTATCCATTGCTATTTTACTGCTTATTGCTTTTACAAAAATGAAAAAAGAATACCACAACAAATGCTTTTTAGAAGGAGTATCCACTTTCAGACACCCTCACCACATTTTAGAGTAATTGTTCCATCATTATTCTGCTTACTACACACATAATATGAATACTTTTTGTCATATGCATTGAATCTGTTGCGTTGTTCATTCTGTAGACATGACATCTATCACATTTCTGTCCATCCTGATAGAGGGATCCCTCCTCTGTTGCTCTCTCTAATTGAAATAAATTAGCAAATGAAGTGACAATAAAATATTTTCTCTTTATTTATTCTTTATTTTCGTCTCAGCCCCCTATAGTTGTCTTACGGCCCACCTACCCCACCGGCCCTTGCAGAGCCTGTAGGCTACTGTCTACATTTACGCTGCTGGACCCAAGACCTGAGAGACCTGGGCCTGAAGTGTCTCCTGAGATCTTCAGAGGAGTTTGAACCTGTGAACACGTTCAGTTCCCATTTCCAACAGTCAAGTTAGCCTGTACTCCCACGCGAAGGAGCATTAGTCACACCTCATTAATTTTCCCAGGCCTCGTGACGGAATCAGGTCATCTATAAAGGAGGCACCTGGCCACCCGCTAGACAGCACGAGACAGAGGAGCAGGGACGGACTAAGTCGCGAGCCAACTAGTCCTCACAGAAAAAAAAAATCAAAAAATGAACGCACATATCTTAGTTTGCTGTTTATCTCTGCTGTTACTGCTGAACTTCGTGGGAGCCAAACCCGTTTCTGAACTACAGGTGAGTTCACCTTTCAGCTGCTCAACAAATGGGATATGAAGACGGCACATTTTAAAGCCAATGCAATCATGTAAAATAAAAATAAAGTCAGTTCATATTTTAATTTGAATAAATAGATGTGTGTACATCCATGTAGAGCTTACTGTGGCCTGCATTTCTGTGTGTTTCTACTCTCACAATGTTATAGCTCTCTGGGTTTTCTTTTTCTCCGCAGAGTTTGAAGCAGCTTTTAGAAGAGGAGATCAACACCGCCCCGTATTACTCCTCCGAGGAGGAGAAGGATGGAAACACAGACAAGTCGTTGTTCGAAGCTCCAGAGGAGCAGCCGTGGGACTCCTCCGACCCCAGCAACTTGGTACTGGAGGCTAAAGAAAGCCTCCTCGCGCGTATCTTCAAAGACCTCATGAGGACCTCCAAGCGCTCGTGGAGCCGAAACAAGAAGGGCGGGCTGAGGAGCTGCTTCGGTGTCCGGCTAGAGAGGATCGGCTCCTTCAGTGGGCTGGGATGCTGAAGGTGGGTGTTATTTAAATCAGCTGCATAATATTCATTATAAATTAAACAGAAGTTTAGTTCTGAAGGTGTGGTCAATATGAGAAAATATTATATGGATGACAAATTATTTTTACACTCACAGGTGTGAAATGCAGGAAGATATAAAAACGTATTTGTAGAATAACAGAATCAACATGCAGTTAGAATATGAGGCAGAATATAGGGGTGAGTGCAGATAGACACGATTTTATAACGATTCTGATACAGTTATTGCACATTATAAACAGACACGTTTAAGTGTCCTGATCTTATACATCAACGTATAATGCAGATCTTTTAAACTTCAGCGTCGACAGACCCAACGCAGAATGCTAAGGGATTAAACATGAACAGAAATATACAGATTAAGCACATTGTTTAAACATCTATAAATATCCCCTATTTATAGTTTGTGTATATTTGAGGAGCAGTTCATGATTGCACTGAAATGAAAATGCATCAAAACCTTCAATATTTAAGAAGAGAGAAACCGAGAGCTCATTCATCACTGAGCATCACTTGGAGGTTTTGTGGCTATTTGCTCAGCAGCTGCAGTTTTGGCCAATGCAGACATGGAGATGTAACAAAGTGCTTGTTAACCCGGTGTGGTGATGTGTCTTTTGTTCTGTCAACAGGCGTGGATGACTCGGGCTTCTCCCATCAGCAGACACTTTAAAGGGCGCCTCCTCCAGTCTCTCCGGTCCACGCTTCTCAGTCACAACCGTCATTTATCTTTTCATATGTGAGCTATTAAATGATAAATTATTGGAAATGTATTTATTATTTTCATGTTGGATAAAGTACAGTTGCCTTGTATTGTAGTAAAATAATTATTTTGCATAATAGCCGATTGTGTGATTCAATTTGTTTCTCCTTTGGGCTCTATACGCAGCTGATACACTGTCATGTTGTAATAAACCTGTCACGGTGTGTTAGATGGGGAAGCATTTCATTCATATTGATTTGTTATTTTTAAATAAATTATCGTCAGCAGTAACGTGTTCAATCTGAACTGTTTCGGTGGGAAGGGATGCCACAGTTTGAACATGAACGCGTTTCTTTTAGTTAACGTTTTTTTCACGTGAACAGTTTCACGCAATCGATCCGGGAACAGTTTGTGTTTTGGCAGAATTAGTCATCGTTGAATAAAAGTGGGCATTCATCCCACTTTGGATGGAGCAGATCTCATTTCTGCAAATCTGACCCAGTTTCTGTATGGACCTGGTCCATGACAGCCCAGAGTTCAGACCAGGAAGCAGAGTTGCAGTCTTACACACTTCTCTGAGCTTCCATTAGAGCAGTTACTCACCCAAAACCATATAGAGACTGTGTCTGCCCCACGGCCACTTCAATTAATTAAATCAAAAATAAACAATCGAGGAGTTAAACAAAATAACCTAATCCAAGTTAAAACTACAGCAACAGTGCAAGAAAATAGGATAATTAAATGTGGACTCTTAAATATCAGATCTTTGTCATCTAAAGCTGTATTAGTAAATGAGCTAATATCAGATACTCATATTGATTTATTTTGTCTTACTGAAACCTGGCTGTGTAATGAAGAATATGTCAGCCTAAATGAATCAACTCCTCCAAGTCATATTAATACTCACATTCCTCGAGGCACCGGCTGAGGAGGTGGAGTAGCAGCCATCTTTGACTCAAGCCTATTATTAAACCCTAAACCTAAACTAGATTATAACTCATTTAAAAGCCTGGTTCTTAGTCGTTCACACCCAACGTGGAAAACAATACAGCCAGTTATATGTGTTATAGTGTACCGGGCCCCAGGTCCGTATTCTGAATTTCTATCGGAGTTTTCTCAGTTTTTATCAAGTCTAGTCCTTAAAACAGATAAAGTAATTATTGTAGGTGACTTTAATATTCATGTGGATGTCGAGAACAATAGCCTCAGTACTGCATTTATCTTATTATTAGATTTGATTGGTTTCTGTCAGAATGTACAGAAACCCACTCACTGTTTTAACTCTCGACCTGGTTCTGACTTATGGCATTAACATAGAAGATTTAATACTCTTTCCACAGAACCCTCTTTTATCGGACCATTATCTAATAACCTTTGAATTCCTACTAACGGAGTGTACACCGGTAAGCAAGAGTTACTACACTAGATGTCTATCTGATGGTGCCGTAGCTCAATTTAAGCGATTCCGTCTATATTTAACTCAATACCATGCTTCAATATAACAGAGGACTCCTGTGCTAACTTTAGTCCTACCCAGATTGATCATCTTGTCGATAGTGCTACAAGCTCACTGAGAAGGACACTAGACTCGATTGCTCCTCTAAAAAAGAAGTTAGTAAAACAAAGGAGGTTCGCTCCATAGTATAACCCTGAAACCCGCAAATTAAAGCAAACATTGCGAAAACGTGAAAGAACATGGCGTTCCAATAACTTGGAAGAATCTCGGTTAGTCTGGCGAGACAGTCTTAAAACGTATAAGAAGGCCCTCCGTAATGCCAGAGCAGCTTATTACTCATCGTTAATAGAGAAAAATAAGAACAACCCCAGTTTCCTCTTCAGCACTGTAGCCAGGCTGACAGAGAGTCACAGCTCTGTTGTGCCGAGTATCCCTATAGACCTCAGTAGTAATGACTTCAGGAACTTCTTTAATGATAAGATTATAACTATTAGAGAGAACATAAACAATGTACTGCCCTCGACTAATACCGATCTTTCCACAAATAGAGTAACCTTAGAAACAGCTGTAAACCCTGATATATGTTTAGATGGCTTTACTCCCATCGACCTTGACAAACTGACTTCAACAATTTCTACGTCTAAACCTTCTGCCTGTCTCTCAGACCCTATACTGACTAGGCTGCTTAAAGAAGTGCTACCGTTAGTTAGCACGTCTTTACTAGATATGATCAACCTGTCTTTATTAACAGGCCATGTACCACAGTCCTTCAAAGTAGCTGTAATTAAACCTCTTCTTAAGAAGCCCACTCTCGATCCAGAGGTGTTGGCTAACTATAGACCGATCTCTAACCTTCCCTTCCTCTCCAAGATCCTTGAGAAAGCAGTTGCAAATCAGTTGTGTGACTTTCTACGTAACAATAGTTTATTTGAGGATTTTCAGTCAGGATTTAGAAAGCATCATAGCACAGAGACAGCTCTGGTAAAAATAACTAATGACCTTCTAATCGCATCAGACAAAGGACTAGTCTCTGTTCTTGTCCTGTTAGACCTTAGTGCTGCGTTCGACACTACATCCTGTTGCAGAGACTAGCACATTATATTGGCATCAAAGGAACCGCAATGAACTGGTTTGGATCCTATTTATCGGATCGATCTCAGTTTGTTTATGTAAACGATGAAGCCTCGATGAAGACCAACGTCAATTATGGAGTTCCACAAGGTTCTGTGCTTGGACCAATCTTGTTCACCTTATATATGCTTCCTTTAGGCAATATTATCAGAAAACACTCTATAAACTTTCATTATTATGCGGATGATACTCAATTATATATATCGATCAAGCCAGATGAAACTAAACACCTTGCTAAACTGCAAGCATGTCTTAAGGGCATAAAAACCTGGATGACCTGCAACTTCCTGATGTTAAACTCAGACAAAACTGAAGTTATTCTAGTAGGCCCAGAACACCTCCGAAATCAGTTATCTAATGATATAGTTTCTCTAGATGGCATTGCGCTGGCATCCAACAGCACCGTAAAGAATCTTGGAGTTACCTTTGATCAGGATTTGTCTTTTAACTCTCAGATAAAACTAATTTCTAGGACTGCCTTTTTTCACCTACGTAATATTTCAAAAATCAGGCACATCCTGTCTCAAAGTGATGCAGAGAAATTAGTTCATGGATTTGTTACCTCTAGACTAGATTACTGCAATTCCTTATTTTCAGGCTGCTCTAATAATTCTCTTAAATCTCTCCAGCTGATTCAGAATGCTGCAGCTCGTGTACTAACAAGAACTAAGAAGGTTTACTAAGATCATATTACTCCTGTATTAGCTTCTCTGCCCTGGCTCCCTGTAAAATCTAGAATAGAATTTAAAATCCTTTTACTTACCTACACAGCCCAAATTGGTCAGGCACCATCATATCTTAAAGAGCTTATAGTACCATACTGCCCTACTAGAGAGCTGTGCTCCATTAATTCAGGGTTACTTGTGGTTCCTAGAGTCTTAAAAAGTAGGATGGGAGCCAGAGCCTTCAGTTATCAAGCACCTCTTTTGTGGAACCAGCTTCCCGTTTCATTCCGGGGGGCAGACACACTCACCACATTTAAGAGTAGGCTTAAGACTTTCCTTTTTGATAATGCTTAATTATAGTTAGGGCTGGCTCAGGTTTGCCTTGGACCGGCCCTTAGACAACCTGGTATAGGCAAAAACTACAGGGGGACTTCCTTAGGATACACTGAGCACCTCTCTCCTCCTCTTCTTCACCTCTGTCTGTATGCATTGATGTCCCATTAATGCTCATTACTAACTTTACTTCTTCCCCGGAGTATTTGTGCTTTCTCGCCTCACAGGTTCCCATGACCGCAGTTTTATCTGGACACTGGTCCTTCAACCATCCATGGCCGTGCTGACGCCTACTACGATCTTCATTGTTAACATTATTAATCCTATTACCGATACCATTAATGCACAGTACTGACTTTGTCTCTTCCCCGGAGTCCTGGTGCTTTCTCTCCTCACACGTTTCCATGGAGCATGGTTTCATCTGGACCCTGGTCCTTCCTCCTACCATGGCCCTGCTGACTCCAACTACTAATATCACTTTTATTATTACTCACATTACTATTTCATATTACCGATACCATTAATACACATTATTGACCTGCTTCTTCACCAGAGTCTCTGTGCTTTCTCGCCTCACAGGTTCCTGTGTATCCGGGTTATACCTGGACCAGGTCTTGCCTCCTGCCGTGGTTCTATCATACATTGAATGTGCTGTAATTACATTGAATGTGTTGTAATTCACTTATCCTGTTCTACACATGACATCTATTGCACTTCTGTCCATCCCGGGAGAGGGATCCCTCCTCTGTTGCTCTCCCTAAGGTTTCTCCCTCTTTTCTCCCCGTTAAAGGGGTTTTTGGGGGAGTTTTTCCTGTTCCGATGTGAGGGTCCTGGGACAAGACGATGTAAATTTGTAATTTGTGATTTTGGGCTATACAAAAATAAATTGAATTGAATTGAATTGAGTAACATGAGTGACGTTGCTGGAATTATGAGAGGCATGCTGCTCTCATAGACGCACCAGATTGTCTTGATAACGAACCGTAAATAATCCAGAAATGCACGGGGGGAATAGGCTAATAGGTGATGGACGTTTCACAGTCTCTGGCAGATAAACGCCTTCATCTGGTGGAACATGCAGAAGTCGGTCCCAAAATAATAAGGGCTCGATGGAGTCTGCATCAGAACGATCGACCTGTACCTCAGATGGCTGAGATATGGTGTGAAGGATCTGGTTCCACAGTGACGACGGGATCCCTCAACATGTGATCAACTGCATGATTCAGTGACTGCATGGCATTAACTGGGAAAAAGCCGTGTAGTCTGTACGCTGGATCAAAACACGTGAAGCGTGTTTTAGGTACGATCACAAACGTCACGTCACAAATAATGAATGAAAATCTAATTATTTCACAAGGTTGATAAAGTTTCCAGAAAACAGCTTAATTCTTCCCTCTTAAAAGGGATGCAGTGGACAAAGTAAAAGTTACAAAGGAGGCTACATGTGATTACTGTACTTCAGTGGCGGGCTGTGCATTTTATACCTGGGCCATCAGTGCTGTCCTACTACAGTTCCATCTCTTAATAATTTCATTATGGCGCCACAGCTATACGGTTATTATTTGTTTCTAGGGGTGTAACAATACATATATTCGTATTAAACCGAACAATACGTTTGAATAATACTTAATTATATTACTAACTTAAATTGTGGGAAATATAATGTTTTCGGTGGACTTTGCTCAAACTGGCAACCCAGATGACGTAACAGACAGCTGTCTGACACTCCGACCCCCGAAGAAAAACATTCTACACGCGACGCTAAACTAGCTTAGTGGAAAACAACAGCAGCACACACGCTACACTCTCTCCACAGCGTTTAGCTGTTCCCTACTGATTCAAACAGGCTAAAGCAATCACCACACAATCCCCATTTCTCCAGACCATCATTCTTGCTTTGTTAAAGAAATGAAAAGCCCACACAGAGAATAAAATGTCCAATCCTAACCCCCGATGATGGGATGCTTCGTAATTAACGGACAATGATGCATATAGTCAGAATCAATGTAATTAACACAATGACAAGAACAAACTCACAGGAACCAGTCACATATATTCATATCACAACAAAGTATGACAGCAGACCTGCAGCGCTAAAACAGTATTCCACCGCACACTAAAGAGCACCATTCAAATATTATTCACATCAGAGGGAACAACATCAACCATATCATAAAAACGACACCATAGACAAATGAACACAGTAGTAATGCTACTGCAGAGGTAAAAACACAAAAGCACTTCACTTACCAAAGATGCTGTTCACTTAAAGACAAAGTCCATCCTCCTTTCTTTGATTACAAAGAGTTCAATGACGCGGTTGTACAGAACATCGGTTTAGTTCAGTTCCAGCCTGAGGTCCTCCTGTGAATGTGTTCGTTGAGTTGTAGATCCACTTGGGTCTCAGCAAAAGTTTTCAAAAGCACGTAGCTTGTAAGTGTCCTGTCCTGTCTATGGTGTCGTTTAGCTGCCTTGGTTAGCGTAGCGTAGCTCCAAACACCAAGACGCTCAGTTGCAAATAAAACGCATTCCCAGCAATAAAATGTGCAACGCTTCTCTAATGCTGAAATACCGTTCGTACAAATCCTTTTCCATGCTGGTTCAGGGCCGCTAGCTGTGGGGTTGACCGACCCTGTCCAGCTTTCCCTGAAATGTCCTTCTCCAGAAATCCTTTTCTCCTCCTTCAGCCATTGAGTATTAAAAAAACAAAGCTTGGTTAAAAAAAAAGAATATACACGAAGCAAAATGCTAAAAATGTAATATCAATGTCATAACTTCTTACATATCTTTCAACTTGAACTGTTACTACTACTACTAACTTCTGCTAGCTGCTTCAGCTTCAAAACAGTCACGCTAGCCCACTGACAAATCACGCCGCACGTTAATGTTGAGCCAGCTGCATTAATGCTAGCTGGCCTATAGCTGACTCAGCTGTAGGCCAGCTAGCAGGCTCTGGCACGTCAAAGAATACGCCCAACATGTCAAACTAAAGATCTGATTGGTCAAACACTATGACAATCAACAATATCGTCCCCATTCACTTAAACTGCACATGGATTCACTTGTGAGTCTGCAGGCCTCGGGCCTCTGTTCTTACCTAGAGACACAGAGGTGAAATCTGATTGGATAAAAGCTCTACTTAAAACAAGCTGCACTGGAAGCAGAGCAACTGAGGAAGACAGTAGCTGTGCAATGAGAAAATAAGATAATGGGGAACATATTTTTATAATTTATAATACATGTAGTGTATTTAAGAAAAATTATTAAATTATAAAATAGCTATAACTTTGAGATTCTGTTTAGGCCAGCAGAGAAGGCTTTGCAGGCCCTGATGGCCCACCACTGCTGTACTTAAGTACAAAGTACAAAGGAGGCTACATGTGATTACTGTACTTAAGTACAATTTTAAGTAATTGTACTTGCTACTTTATATTTCCACCCTCTACATGTCAGTGGGAAATGTTTGGACTCCATGTATCTGACAGTTACTGGTTAGATGTCACATACAAAAAAACGGAAAAACGGAAAAAAAAACCACGGAAACCAGGTTGATGAGAGCTCTGAGACTGAACCAACACTGTAAAACCAAAACAATGAGCTGAAAGAGGCTAAAACGCTCTGTGGAGCTGAGGGAGGTTCAGTGTGGGGGATAATGTGTGTGCCTCGCCACAGACAGACTCTAATATTCATAATGAGAGGCTTCACAGTATTCTTGCTTCCCGCAACAGAGAGGTCAGAGGTCACAATCTGCCACAGAGCAGCACCCTGAGAGCTGGTAGCACTTGCATCCTTCTCAAGGACCCTTTAGTGGAGTGTTGGTCTGAGTGGTGTTCCTCCCACTGAAGGCTGACTTCTACACCACCACAATCACGTACACGCCTCAATTTAGAAACACGGTCACGATGTCTGTTACTTTACTACTTCCCGTAGCTCAGTGACAACAATGTCCCGTGTACAGGGGGGTTGAAGTATGTTTCTCAAACAAAGTAGCAAATGGTAGCAGCTATGTCACACGAATGCCCCATATCTAAGAGACAACGCTTTAAAAGGAGCAGTTTCCGACAGCTCCTGTTATCAGAATCAGGTGTCAGGAATGCCAGTCCAATTCCTGGCATACCCACATGTGTCCAGCTAATGTATAAAAGAGAAGAGGCTTCTGCTGTGGACTCCAACATCCAAACAGCTACCAGGCAAAGAAGCCAAGGAGCATCCATCCATCCATCCATTGATACGACCAACAGGAACTCACAGAGAAACATGTATCTGTCTTCCATTCCTCTTTGTGGCCTCCTCCTCATCTTAAAGCTGCAGCTGTCCAGCACATATCCCATCAGCACCGGCTTGACTGATACTGACATAGACATCTTAAAGGTGAGTCTTCAGATGAGTGATTCTGAAACTTGGGTTTGGAAAGTAGGAGTTCTAGGGGACATGCAGCAAGATAAGCAAGCACTTTTATTTATTTTACAGCATCTAATTTCAGTAATCCCACTCATAGATTGAATACAGATCATCACTCAACAGCAACATCCTGTATAGACCTCTGGGACCATATATGATTTAATATGACTCTTTGATCTCATATGTGTTTCATGAAGTTAAATGGGTGAGCCAATAACAATAAGTGTAATGAGTATGTAACAAATAATTAATGCTGCATTTGTATAGTTACAACATTAACAATGTTTATTTGGAGTCTACACTGCAGGACAAGTTCTCACATGCTTCTCATGGTCTTAACATCTGCTTCCGATGCATCACCATACTTGAAAGTGCAACCAGAAATGTTTGAAGGCCCGCCCTGTAAATGTAAATCCACAATGCAAAATGTTTAAATGTTTATATTCAATATGCAAGAGTTAACCTAACTTATGTGGACGTTGCAGGTGCTCCTTCACAGACTAGAGGAGTCAGTTCCTGATGTGGACCGGAGAGTCTCTGCAGAGAGGGACAGTCTGGACAGCCTGGACATAGAGGAGGCAGCAGATGGACAGCAGCCCCAACCCGGACTGGATGAGGCAGCGATCAGGGAGTTTCTCTCAGCAAAGAACCTGAAGAGCGTCCGCAACGACTCGTCCAGGAAGTCCTCCGGCTGCTTCGGGCGACGGATGGACAGAATAGGCTCCATGAGCTCACTGGGGTGCAACACTGTCGGCAGATACAGTGAGTTACAGTAACACATCCACAAGAAACAGTCACACATAGCCCTGTGTTTATTCTCATATTTATAATTATATTGTCATGAATTTACCTCATACACATTTGTATTATTAACGAAACGAATCCAGAAATATTAACTGTCTTAATAACAGAGTTGTTGCTATCTTGTTCTCTTGCAGATCCAAAGTAAAGATGAAGTCTTACCATCTAAATTCTGGAACTGCAACATCTCTACCATTTTTATTTGAACGCTATTTATTTACTGATATTTATTGAATATTGATGGTGGCTTACAAGTATTATTTATTTATAATGGATGTAAGACTGTTCTTTATGTACTGTTGAATGTATTAATAAATGTTTACAACTGCACATCATTGAACCAAGTGTTGCTGAAACATCAACACACACACACACACGCACAGATTGTGAATAAATACAACAATTGTCATGCAACGGAAATGGCCTCCAATGATACATGGTAATTGTCTGTACTTGTCTAGTCTTCCGACTACTCGAGGCTCTTTAACACTATGTCATCATTCACCCATCCATACCACCTGCCCTTCACAACTAACTAACATTCACACACAGTAGGCACAGGAGCAATTTGGAAGTTTATTTTATTGATTTATGTGAGCAATTTGGGGTTAAGTGTCTTGCCCAAGGACACATCGACATTGACTATCAGAGCCGGGGATCGAACCGCCGATCCTCTGATTGAAGGACGACCCGCTCCATAATCAAATGGACACTTCTTACATTCAACATAGTTGCATCTGACAACAATAGGAGACACTGGCACATGCCACATATCCTGAGAATAGTCTCCAGAGTTGCATCCTGGGTAATAACCCCTGTGGGAGAGGGTTCATTCGTCCTGCACATAATGGTGTGACTCTGTTGTTGAGACTATGACTGACAACGAATGATAACCCTCCATCTGGTTTGGTTTCTATCTTTTTTAATGTAAATGAACTGAAAGCAACTCCAAGCTGCGTTTAATTTTTGGCATCAGCAACCGTCAGCCTTCAGTAAGGTGTGGCTTGTTAAAGAAGCTGGGAAAGCTGTGGTTTAGTGTCCATTCATTACATGAGATGTTTTCATCCGTGTATAGTCCTGTCATTACGCCTGGGGAATAAAGTGGAGCTGAGCGCTCAACATGTAGGTTGGATTTTGGGTGGACTGAATGGACTGCACGCTTCAGTAACATTTTCGCACCTTCGTGTCTTACTTGTGATGTGGATTCCCAGTAAGACACTCAGACAGTCATGACCCCATCAGTAACAGATAAAAAAGTTTTCCCTTGATCTCATGAAGACTGAGACATGCGCCTGAATACTCAAGGAGAAATCTAGTAAGTGGACCTTGAGTTAAGAACTGCAGCTACCAGTGTTGTTGTCTTAATGCAGGCTAGCATCGGCTAACTCCAAAGGGGACAGAGAAATAGTAGCTTATTGCAAGATATCTGAATAAATGAGAACATATATATTAAACTGTTTCCACTGACTAAGACACTGTGAATGTATATATATAAGTAAAAATGACAGCTGACAAAACAATATCCACTCAAGGTCTACTTACTTGTTTGTTCCAGGGCTTTTAACCTTATCACATTATCTTTATCGGCAGATGGAGTTTGCTCAGCGGTCCTGGAACTACAGATGTTCAAACTTTCCACAACTCTAAAAACGTGGCCTGAGAGTTGATATTGTCAGTTCATCCATTTCTCCACTTACTGTCTTGTTATTATGAGAGCTGAAAAATGTAAAATATAGTTCAGCCTTTTGGGAAATAACATGGATTACTTTTCTTGCAGAGAGCAAGATGAGAACATTTTTGTCACTCTCATGTTTGTGTGTTAAGTATGAAACTACAGCCAAAAGTTGATTAGCTCAGCCTTGCTCTCCAGACACTGTTCGCTAAGAAAAATGTCCAGCTTGTAACTATAACCACAAATTGTTTTTACATTTCTGTTTGCCAAATTAAATACCACGTGTTAATCAGTAAGCTTTAGAGGTGTTGGCAGGTGTATTTCAATATTTGAGGGAACTAATTGAGCCGCTGCAAGTCTTTATGCTGTTAAGCTAATTGCTTGGTGGCTCTAGCTCCATACTTAATATATCATGAGAGTGGTATCAATGGGAGTGTATCAATATCTACAGGGTCCTATGTTCCCCAGCTCCATACCCTCCCAATATGACACATTAGGAGACCTTTCAAACTGTTTTATGTTCTCAACAATGTTTTTTCCATGGGTCCAATGTTCAGTGTATTAAAGGTGTAACGGTTCAGAAAATTCTCGGTTCGGTTCAATACGATACAGTAGTGCCACGGTTTGGTACATTTTCAATACGGCAAAAAAAGCAGAAATACCAAATCCTCGCTGGTGACACTCTCAAAGAGGCACGTCTGAAGAACATGGCTCTTCATCTCCATTCAGTAGTGAGGTAATGTGTCGTTACAGTCAGGTAGATTTGTGTAGTCCGTGACATCCGGCTGTCTGTTGTCAGAGGAACAGCGGGAGCTTCGGACATTTGATTCTCTGTTTGGGCTTTTGTTTTCTTTAACAAAGCAAGAATTATGGTCTGGAGAAATGAGCTCGTGAATGAGTAGTGTCACGGGGCTCAATAGCATTAAGCATGTTCGTACAGCCTGGTCTTCCACTCCAGAGTAGGGTCTCATATCCAATGCTATAAATATAACAATCGCCGTGGCGTTTGCATTGGCCCTTTTTGAATAAGTAGGGAACAGCTACCTAAACGCTGCGGAGAGAGTGTGTACTGCTGTCGGTTTTCCTGCTAAGCTAGTTTAGCGTAGCGCGCCTCCCAGAACACATGTGCCTCACCAGAGTAGAATGTTTTTCTTCCGTGGTAGAGTGTCAGACATCACGTTGTCTGTTACGTGGTAGAGTGTCAGACAGTATGTTGTCTGTTACGTGTTGGAGTGTCAGACAGCACATTGTCTGTTACGTGGTAGAGTGTCAGACAGTATGTTGTATGTTACGTGGTGGGAGTGTCAGATAGTATGTTATCTGTTACGTGGTGGGAATGTCAGATTGTATGTTATTTGTTACGTGGAAGAGTGTCAGACAGTATGTTGTCTGTTACGTGGTAGAGTGTCTGACAGCACGTTGTTTGTTACGGGGTGGGAGTGTCAGATAG